TTGTTCCAAGGAAAATCACTCCCTTGTCACAAAGATACTCGGGGAACAATCTGTCCAAAACACACTGCAGCCCTGCCCATTTTGACAGGAAAACTCTGCATGTGATTCAGTCTCCCACTGAAAGAGAGGCCCTTTTCCCATTGCCAGATCGTGCCTATTCAGAGCCAGAGTTGCACCCGCAAGAAACCCCTGCATCTTGCAGTGAAGCTCATATTGGAGAGATTCCTTTTGCATTGGCCGCCACACCCAGAACGTCACCTCAAGAGGAATTCCAGCACATATTCCAAATTTCTTTTCTCTTCTGCTCCAGGTTAGTGTTGAGGGCTGGGTCGGTCCTGAACAGATCTGGGACTCAAGGCCATGGCACAAAACCCCCTGCACAAATTGGCACGTGCCCTTTGCACATGCTCTAAAGTCTCTGCATGTGTGTGTCTCCGAAGGAACCTGTCTGCTAAGAGCATCCCAGTTGTGAAAAGCATTGGATTTCAGGGAATAACTCAGGTAAAGTGATTCAAGGTGGGAAGGGAGGGTAGCCGGGTGCGGGGGCAGATGCATTTAACGTCCTCAGGCCCCCGGACCTTTCTTTCAGCAAGTGCCGGGGGACCGCAGGGCAGGGGACCGACGGCCTCCCGGAGCTCGGGGCTCCAGCCCTCGTGGGCAGCTGCATTACACCACCCTGCGACCGGGTGGAGTAGAGAGACAGGACTGGGCTGGTTCGAACTGGCTGCACGCAGATCCGCTCGAGGACCGTGGCAGAACCCAAGATCTTACAAAGCCCTTAACGGCTTGGGACCCGGATACCTGAAGGAACGCCTGCGGCCATATTTGCCCTCCCGCCCCAGCAGAGGCCCTCCTCCGGGAGCCCTCCGGGAGAGACATCAGGAGGCAAAGTACCCGGAGGAGGGCCTTCTCTGCGGTGGCACCCCATCTGTGGAATGTGCTCCCCAGAGAGGCCCGCCTGGCGCCGTTGTTACTTGTTTTTCGGCACCAGGCCAAGACCTTTTCATTCAAACAGTATTTTAATAATGTTTAATATTTACATATTTTAATTGTGCAGCCAGTGTGTTTCCAGGTTTTAATTGTCATTGTTGTTGTTTTATTTATTTATTGCTGTGAGCCATCCCGAGGCTATGTAGCAAGGGGACGGCACATAAAAACTGGAAATAACTAAATAAATGGGCCGGAGCCTCTCTCCTTAAGGACACCCCTCTTTGCAAAGCGAGATGTCTGGCAAGAGGGGAAGGGCATTTGCCTTCCAAAAGAAGCCTCAGGCAGAGAGATTCGGGGAGGGGGTGGCAGCAGATGACAAAATGCCCTTCCCCAGGAGGGGTTCAGACATGGCCGGGAGTTTTCCTTTGACAAGGTGGTAGGCAGATGGCTCCCCCACCCCAGCCATTTGGGGCCCCAAAGGAAAGATCTGGGGCACCAGCCTTAGGAAGCTGGCTTCTAACACCGCCTATGCTTCCAGAACTGCGTCTCCCGAGCAGGGTTTGGTGCATCTGAGCCCGGCTTTGGCCTGGTTCAAAGCCAGGGAGATCTTTCTCCCAGGCACTGGGCTCTGGGGCTCAGCCTTGTTTCTGCTCTGCCTATCATGTCCGCAGAGCCGTACATCGTCTCCGCTCAGGTTCCCAAGCTGTCGGCACGGACGGGCCCGTGGGAGCAGCAGCTGGGGCCTGAAGAGAAGTCAGCACAAGTCCCTCCAACCTGATAAGGCCCTGGGCTTCATGCCAGCACCGCCGGTGGACTGGCCCAGGGGATCCGGCCCCCTCAGGCAAAGCGCGGGAGGGTGCACCCCTCCCGCGTTGCAAAAGCCAAGCGGGTTCTTCCACTCTGGCGATGGGACAGGGTCCTCCACCAGATCCAGCTAGCTTGGGGGACACTGGGCAGCCTGGCCCCCCAGACATCAGCAGAGGGGGAAGCCGGGGACGCCCCAACTCGGTTTCTGTGGGCTGAAGCAAGCCTTTCACTCCGCCAGGCCGCTGCTGGGTTTTTCTTTGCTTCTCTGGATAGAGTGGAGCGGGAGACCGTTTTCTCTCTCGTTCATCACGCTGGCCCACAACTGGGTCGCCCCACGAGGCCGAAGGGTGGGGGGTTCAGGACAACGCGGCATGATGGAATGAGAGCCGTCCACGTGGGGGGGGGGGTCGAAGAGGCGTGTGGACTCGTTCCACGAGGAGAAGCTTGCCAGAGGCTCCTTCCCTGCTGGCCACGTGCTGCTTCTGGAATCAGAGGCAGTGTGACTCTGCACCCGTGGCCGGGGAGCATGGTGGGAGGGTGCCGTGCACTCTGGCCTGCTTGCGGGTTTCCTGTGGGCCGCTAGTTGTCCGTCGTGTGGACTCTGGGCTGCGTGGGCCTTTGGCCTGACCTGGCTGGGCTCTTCTAGTCTCTTCTACGCTTTTCATGCATGGCCATTTTCTCCCGGTTCAGATTCCACCCCTGCCCAAATAATCCTTGAAACAGAGCCTGCCCTGCACTCTTTTCTGCAACACAGGCTTCAGTTTCGGCTCAGGGTGAGTCAGATGGCTGTTCCCATAAATGCAGTTGCAGCTTTGGGGGCAGAGGTCACTGAGCGCTTCTTTTGGGTCTTAAAAGGCTCCCCAATACCAAACTTTTGCACATACACACGTTCGCTTAAACTGAACCGCTCAATACGTCAAAAGGCACCCGATCTGTCAGTGAAGCATCCTTGCATTGGTGGACGGCTGTCGAACAGGTCAGTGCAAGGACCGCAGAAATCCACACGGGGGAAGCGTTATGAAGGTGGGAAGCAAGCATGCCAAGCAGTTAACGCTTGCGGTGCAGCTGCACTTTCTGGGCGGCTCATGAGCAAGACATCCTTGGCAGGATAGGCAGATTCAGGTAGGAAAATCAGGACATGAGAACGGGGAATCCTCGCGTGTGTTCCCTGCCTTGGGTGGGTGCCCCGTGCAGAATGGCAGCAGCAGCAGCAGCATCCCCCTTTTCAGTGTCCGACTTTGCCCCCCTCTGGAGCCAGCCCCGCCCCCCCCCCCCCCCCCGCTCCTGGGCTGCTTTGAGGAAGATGGATTTGGAGGGTGGGAAGGGAAGATCTCAAGCTGGGCTCTGGAAGCCTCCAGTCTATAAAAGGGAATTCTGCCTGTTTGCAAGGAAATGAATCCCAAGTTTCCTGGAACCACAGCTGGGCCCAGCAGCCTCTGAGTCATCCAGGGCCAGCGAGCAACACTCACCTCCCCGCACCTTTCTCAGACGGACAATCTCGCACAGCAAGAGGCAAAGGCTGCTGAAGGCCAGGTGGAATTCAGCAGGTCACCTGGATGGGTTCCGTAAGCTTCATCAGCCAAGAAGGCATGTTTGGTGTAATACAGGGGGCTAGCTCTCCAGCTGCCAGGGAGACAATGGGCCCCACTGATGCCATGGGGCAGCAGCTCCATGATCGATTAGCTTCAGTCAGATGGAGTAGGAGAGGGTCAGGGTGGCCGTGAGGCAGGGGTGTTCTCGAGCCCATCCTTCTGGCTTGCAAGCCCCGTCCATTCACATTGCTAAGCGGGTTCAAATTCACCGAACATCGTGGCTGCCCTGGTGAATTAAGACAAAAGATCTGCTGAATAGTGTCCCGTTTCTGAATGCGGTCAACAAGATGTCCCTGGGAAGCCCACAAACAGGACGTGGGGACACGAGGCCTGCCTCATGGATGGCCTTCCCCAGCACCTCATGTTCACAGGTAGACTGCTTCTGCACCCGCAGGAGCATGGCTTAGCTGTTCCGGTCCGTAGCCAAGGATAGATCAGTCCTCCATGACTTTGTCTAAGTGAGGATTAGCCCCATGGGTGTGCTCCAGTTGCTTTAGACTACAAGCTCCATCATACCCAGCGAGCATGGCCAATGGCTAGGGATGATGGGAGTTAGAACCCAAAACATCATCCTCAGTGAAGGTGGCCTTTGCTAAATCTTATGGGATTTCTGTCCATCCGTTGTACACAGAGCCAAGAGCCATCTCGGACTGTCCTGAAGCTGCTGCCAGAGAGTGGGGGTTATGGCCATGCTCTGGCTGGGGATGATGGGAGTTGCAGTCCAAATCTTGAGGGGGTAGTGATGCTCCACAGTTGGGGGAAAATCCATTGTTATGATAGGGAGAAAAATCCAAGCATCATAGGACAGGGGGAAGTGGGGGGGGGGGAACTCCTCACAAATTATGGATCCTGTTGGAATGTTAAAAAAGAAAAGCTCAGAATCAGGCCGCGGGTTCCCCTCTGTGGGTTGCAGGCAGCAGAAATGAGGTGGGGCCCTGCTGGACCGGACGAAATGCCATCGCAGTCCAGCCCAGCCTGGTGCCTTACAGATCGGGTAAGCAATGACCCGCAGCGCTGGCTGGGACTACAATGGGAGTTGTAGTCCAACTCATCTGGAGGGCGCCAGGGTTGGAGCACCCAGATCTTCTGGCTCATGGACCCAGAGGCCACGGGAAGCCGACAAGCCGGTCCTGGAGGCAACGGTCTGTACTGGCTGGTTCCCCCAGTGACTTGCCTCCTGCAGGGAGTATGATCATTGGTAATACAGTAATAACAGCGAACAGCCGTTGATGAACACATTCGTTGTATTGCAGGTTGCCAATGAACACCATTCCATGAGGACTTGCTCCTGGGCTGTCCTCCCCCTGGAGCGCTATCCCGTCCCGTCCAGGTTGCTGGGCAGGGCTCGAGAATCCCCATGGCTCAGGGGCAAAGCACAGCCCTTTCAGCACATCCCTCAGCTGACAGGATCGGGACCTTAGCAAAGGCACTCTGGAAAGGGGCAGGGAAGGAGCTGTGCAAAAGGCAGGAAACTAAACTGCCAACGACGGGGGGCCATGGAAGGGGACACGGCCGAGGCAGTGCTGATGTGGCCGTCTGGGGGCTGCTGGGAAGCCCCACTGGGGTCCCAGGTGGGGGACAGGCCTGAGCGTCGCCACCCCAGCTCAGGGGAAGCAATAAGGAGCCAGTCACGCAGGGATGAGAAAATATCTTTATTTTCAAGCCTGCTGAATGAGGAAATAATTACACAGTGATTGCACAGGCCAGCCGTAAGCTTCCTCACGAGGAGGCGCTGCTTGGCATCGTCCTTTAGGAAGCAGGCCGGTGATCCATGCCGCCACCAGCGCCAGCACCCCGCCGTCCCGGGACCGCCATGTTCCCGTGACCGAGCCTCCCTCCTGGCAGAGGCGCCGTTCTCTGGGCGGCCGTCCAAGCTCTGGCTGCAGGGTCGTTTCTTCGCAGTCACAAATCCTCATTGCGCAGCAGTCCGATGCGGGAGCAGCTCCCATCCTGCCCCGGCCCCTCAGAGTCCACAGAGGGGGGCTTCCCGTCCAAGGGGGGCTTCCTGTCTGGAAGCACCAGGGACCCCTGGTGTCCATCAAGTCCACCCCCTCCCCGCCCGGGCGGGCACGTGAAACTCAGTTTTCTGAGGTGTGGATCCTTGCTAGGCCCGGCTTCTTCGGCAGACGCTCCTCTCCACTTCAGCTCATCTCCGCAGGACCTTGAGGTGGTTCACTCCTCGCGCCTTCAAGTAGCTTCCCCCACCAAGCTCCCGGCGGCTGCCCTGAAAGGAAGGTGAACCAAAAATGAGTGCAACTCCCATTCGACACTAGGAGCACCAGCCCCTCTCTTGGGCAAAGAGAGCCCTCCGAATGCAGCGCACGCTTTTTCGTAATTCTTTTAATCTTATCCTTCTCACGGGGCTTGTGCCAACGCCGAGATGCACCCCCCATGGGTCTGAAGTGGGAAGCCCAACCTGAGCTACGTACTTGGTCTGTTGAGGCGTAGCAGGTACCAACCCTGGGAAGTGACCCCAGGATAGGGGCTGTTCAGAAGCTGTTTGCTTAGATGTGACAGCTGTCAAAAGGCAAACCGTCAAAAGGCAAACCGCCACGTCCAAGCAGCTTTTTTGACAAAAAGCTGTCAAAAGGCAAACCGTCACATCCAAGCAACACCAGGACTGATCTTCACTCATGAAAAGGAGGGGCACTTTCCCGCTTCCAAAGCTTGGGATGGTGGAAAGGTGTACCCTCTCCAGTGCCACTACTATCTCCTGAATCAAGATACTCAAATACACTTGACTGAGATACATCTCTGAGAATGAGTATTCCCAGATGAGTCCTAAGATCTGGGTACCACTGAAATGGCCAGGTAGCTTAATACACTTTGTGTTACCTCCAACTGGCATCAATTCAGACTTGGACCAGTTAATGGAATAGCCAGAGAAATCACCCAAAGCATTAATCACCTACATCAAAGCTGGAAGAGATGCCTGGAGTTTTGAGATAAACAGTAAATGAGCATCAGCATAAAACTTATTTGGGATTACATACAATCATACACAAATCTGTGAATAGGATTAATTGGTCTAAGCACACGCACCAGGGGTCCCAAGCACAAGCCAAATATCGGTGAGGAAAGCGGACAGCCCTGTCTAGTACCCCTTCCAAGAATTTAAAAAATCTCCCTGAAGACCATCAGTTATCCCTGTTGCTCTTGTGGGAAGTGTAACATTTTGAGCCATTCTTCAGAAATTCTTCAGGAAAGTCTAATCTTCTCAATATAGCAAAGATAAATTTTGCCCCTAGCCTTTTCAGTGTCCAAAGAAACAAGGACAGCCTGGTCTGTTCCACCAGCATTTAAAGCCACCCAACCAGTGATTGGACTAAGGGTGCAATCCTGCCCAAGTTGGACAGGAAAACCTGCTTGCAGCACACCGGGGGTTGTAGGACTTTTCCCAGTTTAGATGGGACCGGACCGCACGTGACTCGTAGTGAATCCAGCATCCTGTTGCAGCAGCTGCAGCGAAATACCTCCTTCTCTCAAGCCGTTCGCCTGTCATCGCAGGCACTCTAGCATCTGCGGCCCTCTTTCCTCTGCTGCTCGGTAAGGCACACGCCTCCCTGTCCCGCGGGTGCCTCGGAGGCCTTGCTCAGGGCGGCTGGAGGGCCACTCCTTGGGCTCCAGGTCCCGCTGCTCCCACCGGTGCCAGCTCCCGGCAGGATGCTTGGGGGCAAGGCCCTTCCGACGGGGCTTCTCTCCCAGGAGCTGCCTTGCCTCCTTGCTCTCTTTCCCAGCACTGCTACTGCTTGCTCAGCAGGCAGGCAGGCAGGCAGGCAGAGAGCAGGGGAGCAAGGAGGCCTTTTCGTGTCGTGTGAACACCGTTCTCCCGGCCAGGGCGAACCTGCGGGAAGGTTGGGAAGAGGGGGACCCCTCTAGGAGCGACTGCCAGTGGGTGCCTGACGGACCTGCCAGCACCCCGAGAAGCGAAATGCCAGTTGTGGTGTGGGTGCTTTTCTCTCTTGCACACGCAACCCAAACGTGCAAACACTCGGCTTTGTGCCGCCTCTCTGGCCAGCTTGCGTAGACGGACGAGGCCTGGGCTCATCTCTTCAGGACCAGTCACAAAGCATCCCCTTCCTTTCCCAGAGGAAAAATGGAAGGTGAAACCAAAAGCAACTTGTCCAAGAAGCGCATTGCACGGCTGAGCTGGGCTCCGAATATCACAACACGAGTCTGGTTCCGGCACCCAACAGTGGCAGAGAGGCAGAGAGAGAGAGAGAGAGAGGCAGAGAGGCAGAGAGAGAGAGGCAGAGAGAGGGAGAGGGAGAGGGAGAGGGAGAGAGGGAGAGCTGCGCATCAGCTTGCGGCACCCGTCTGCAGAGCATGTTTTTAGAAACCCCAAGCAATGAAATGGACATTAGGGGGCCTTGTGGGCCCCGAGAGCGGCTTCTGTGTCCAGGGCGCATTTGGGCACCGCCCGGAAGACCCGAGGCTCGGTGTCTTCTATCCAGGGCTGCAGGGAGCAACCTGAGGCTTTCAGACCTGAGTCTTTTCCAGCCCCATCTGGACACCCGGGAGAACATGCATGCGACCTGCAAAATGCTATGCTCCAACTTTCACTAAAGATTCCAGTCCCTAGTGTGCCAGGAGGAGGCCTGATTTAAACAGAGACCCAGCAAGCTACTTGCTACCAAGTCGAAAATTTCTTTTCCAAGTCAGATCATCTCTTTTGACTGGCAGCAACGGCTCCTGCGAGTTCCAGGCAGGGCCCTTTCCCAAACAGAGCTGGAGAGACTGGAATCGAATCTGGACATTCGGTATTTAAAGCACGTGGTCCAGGGCCCTGCTGTGTTCTCCATACTCCAACCGTGTGCGATGGTATGCATGTGTTTGGCACGAGAAGGGCCTTTCAAGGACCGGCCCTTCCAGTATTCCTCATCCAACCTGACCGACCTAGCTGGCAAGATCGACACCGGAGGCCTTCCTCGGAGGTCTCGTTCACTGGAAGCTCAGGAGCCAGCCGTGAAGGAGGGGGCCTTTTCAGGGGTGGCCCCCAGTTATGGAACAATCTCCCTGCTGAGGTCCCCCTGGGGCCAAATCGGTCATCTTCTCAGCACCAGGTTTCAGCTGCTCTCTCCTCCCAAGCACTGCATGGCATAGGAAGATACTTGATGCCCCGATGGGCCGTTTGCAGTGCCTGCTTTCAACTGGCCTCGTTTGCACCCAAGTTGTTCTATCTGTAAAATGGCTTTTAAAAGGTCATGTGCCAGAATCAACAGGGTGCTTTTTAGAATTCTATCTGTGGGATCCGTGTTTTTATAAGCTGCCCAGAAAGCTGCAGCTATTACAAAAATGAAATGTTGATTAATAATCATAACAACGTTGCAGAAAGCAGATGTGGAGGACAAAGATGCGACAGTCACTTCAGCGGTGGGGGAATGAGAGCTTGAGCCTGGCCCTTCTGCCCCTTTCCCCAGGCTGCTGCCTCGGTTATGTCCTTGCGGAAGGTTGCCATAGCGAAGGGAATTCTGTCATCACCAGCTGGGGAACAATCGGAAGCCACCAGAGCAGTCCGGAATCGCAGCCCGCTCGCTCCCTGCGGAGGCCCGGATTAAGTTTCTCCTCCGATCACTTTCAGAAAAGCCTCCTTTGAAAGTCACCTTTCACGTTCCCTCTCAGCAGTAAAACAAAAGCTACAAAGGCACACACGTGCACCGGCAGAAGTTCCAGCCTCTCCAGATTGAAACAAAACCACAAAAAACGAGGAAAGCTTTCCTGCCGCCCTCGTCCCGTTTTTGGAAGTGGCTGAAACGATGGAGGTTGAGGAAATGTGGCCAGGCATCCAGCAGCTGGCCCAACAATTTATAGTAACAAGTGAAGGGGGCAGTCCCACGCAATTGCAGAAAATAGTCCTGCAATTCCCAATCCTGGGAGCTGTAGGACTTTTTTCTGTCTAAATGCACATGAGACTGCACCTGAAAACGCTTTGTACAGAAATAGATCTAGGGACTCCGAAGAGCCTCATTATCTTCTTGAACAAGCACGGTGCATGCCGATCTGCCGTGCTGCTCGTTAAAAGCCGTACCTCACTTCTGAGAGTTTCTAGTGCTAGTATTTCAAAGTCATAGGTGCAGCTATTTTCTCCTTAACGGCTATTTTGTGGAAGGAAGAGGACCAAGGCAGCAGTGGTAAATGTGAAAAAGACACGAATGGAAGACCCTGACACCTGGACCACCCCCCTCCATAAAATCCTGCGAATGAGACCAGACCTGGTCCAGTGATAAATCCAGGCCACGTAGCTGAGCCTCGCGCTTGTTTGCCTTCTTCTATGGACAAACCTCTGGATGAGAAGCCACAAGCTCCAGGAGAAGAGACTCAAACCTTTCTGTCCAGCCACTTCCCCCTCTCCCAGAGTTGTTCTCCTTCCCTGTCAGCATCATGGATGGTTAAAAAAAAGGCAAGGGAAAGCCCTGCATCGAATTAAGATCCTAATTAATTCAAGCCATCCCAGCACACAGTGCCCAGCCTCCGCGTCCCACAAGCAAGGCGAGCAGGCAATAGCACTCCCGTGCCCATGATCCCCAGCAACTGGAGTGCACAGGCAGACTGCTCTGATGCAGAGGGAGCATCACACCATGAGGACTAGTAGCCACGGATAGCCTTCCCCTCCTCCATGAATGTTTCTCTTTTTAAATCCCTCTGTGCTGATCTCTCTCTCTCTCTCTCTCTCTGGCAAAAGGTAAGTTTTGGGGAAGATGGAAACGACTACTGGGCAACGGTGGGTGTGGGAAGCCTCGCTCCAATTCCCATTCTGTACCCGTGCAGTCGCCAGCTGCAGTTGCCTCCCAGGTTTAGAAAGGATGCTGAAAATCTGGGAAAGGTTCAGAGGAGGGCAACAAAGATGACACACAGCCTGGAAAGCAAGTCTTACGGTGGGAGGCTGAACGAACTGGGCCCGTTCAGCCTTGAGAAGAGGCGACTCCGAGGCGACTCTGCAGGTACCTCCAAGGCCGTCGCAAAGAGGAAGGAGGAGGCCTCTTCTCGCTCACCCCGAACTGTCGGACATGGAACAATGAGCCCACATACCAGGTGCAGGCTGGACACACGGACGAATTTCCTGAGCGACAGTGGAACCAGTTGCCAAGAGAGTTGCGTGCTCCTCCACACCAGATGCTTTCAAGAAGAGAACGGGGGTTGGACTCAGTGGCCTTCCTGCCCCGCTCTGGCCCTACTCTTCTGTGATTGTCTCTGGATTCGCCACCAAGAGTTCGGCAGGCAGGC